TCAAATTTCTGAAAAAAAAAATCTCCTGTTTCTTAAGAAAGCGCAAACTGTGATATATACAAAGTATATATCTCTAACAATTTATCCCTTCGTCACTTCGTCACTTCTGGTATAAATTATGTCATCATTGGCCTCTCTCTTTAGAAATAGGAGATTTTTTTTTTCAGAAATTTGACCCTGAAAGATTCCGTAGTTCAGTTCTAGATGGAAAAGATCCTTATGCTTTTGTTCCATTTGCTGCTGGTCCAAGGTTAGTTTATTTTATTTTATTTGAACCCTTTAATTATTATTATTATTATTATTATTATTATTATTATTATCATTATTATCATTATTATTATTATTATTATCATTATTATTATTATTATTATTATCATTATTATCATTATTATTATTATTATTTATTATTTATTATTTATTAATTATTATTATTATTATTTATTAATTATTATTATTATTATTTATTATTATTATTATTTATTAATTATTATTATTATTATTTATTATTATTATTTATTATTATTATTTATTAATTATTATTATTATTATTTATTAATTATTATTATTATTATTTATTATTATTATTTATTATTATTATTTATTAATTATTATTATTATTTATTATTATTATTTATTATTATTTATTAAAAGTTTCCTCTGTTTGTTTATATAAAAAAAATATATATGAAAATGGTGTATAAATAATGTTTCTAATGAATATATTTTGTAGAAATTGTATTGGTCAGAATTTTGCTATGAACGAGATTAAGACAGTCATCAGTAAAATAGTTCACAGGTATTGTACACAGTACTTTTTATTTTCATATACAGTATAATGGTGAATATAATGCACACCAAAATTAACAAACAAATTTATCTGGATAAGTCTATTTCATGTTCAAGTGGTTACTCATAAAGGCTATAGACCCACACAACAAAACATGACTGTAAGAATCTCTGCTGAAAAAAGAAATGCAACTTGCTGCCTTTGAAACAATACTTTTCATTGGTCAAAATACCTTCATAATCTTGTAAAGCATCCAATCAAATTTGACTTGCTCACCTCACCAACAATGCATGTCAAATACACCCAGAGTCTAGTGATAATCAGAGAAATACCAACACCAAGAGGTTTATCCATGGACCAACTTCTAGGATCCTTTGAACCTTATAAACCTAAGTTCTTATTCTTGTAAAGCCATTGACAATATCATAAAGAAACTGATTTGTAAGCCTTGAAAAAGTTTGATCAAGTACTTGCTGGTAGAGAGGATCACTGTGAAATCTAGTTGTTATCCTTGTAAACAATGAATAATCTGGCTGAACGATTTCCTGGGTGCATTTTAACAAGAAAGATTTTTTTGTTTTTTAGATTCCACATTGAGTACGATAAAGACAGAATTCCAGAATTACTACCCGAATTAGTTTCTCGTGCCAAATATGGTTTATATTTAAAGTTTACTCCAAGACAATAGGTTCAAGTCATCTGATTTTTTTTTTCATACACCAATTAATTAAATAGTTTGCTTTATTTGACACTAAAAAATAAGGAAACCTATCTTGAACATGGTATTGGAAGAATTTTATGAAATATCTGAGTTAAACTACAGGTCACAGTTACTTATTCTTATAGTCATGTACGTTACTCTTATTATGTATGTTATTACTGGTAGTTTATTCTTATCTTTTTTTAATTATACAAATTTCTAAATATTCTTGATTCTTGTTATTTAAAACATATAGATCTGTCCTCCCTTCTGTTACCTGCTTTACGAAGTTCTTGTCTTGCCAAATTGACCTATTTCAGGAGACAACATAATGATATGTTAGGAAATTAGTTTAAACATTTTGCTAACTGAACTTGAATCAGGTTAAATGAAGGGGTTGGGATAATTACCTCATCTGTGTTAAAACAAGGGCAGGCCACTCTGTTTTATCTTCCAAAGGATTGTGTTTTTTTAAATTAGTTAATGATGAATTTAGACAAAGGAAATAGCAACAAAAACAAAAAAAACTTGGATCGATTTGATTTTATTATGTATGATGATGAATAAATACAAAAATGATTGAATGAATGAATCTTTGATTTGATGGATGAATGAAAAAAAGCATAAAGTTGATCTACAACAACTCAATTTTTCAGATTTTAATGGCAGTGTTGAATGTCTTAAATGGTAAACATTTACAAAAAAACTAGATTGTGATATTTTTTAACTATAGCAGCACTGAACAAGATCCATCCGTTCAAATTCCCACAGTCGACTCTAACAACACATAATATTGTAAAAGTTCCACATTAAAATAACGCAACTATGATACTGTATCGGGATCACCAGGCTGGCGCCGTATTAGCTAATCTTCTCATACGTCTGCAAATACAAACATTTCAATATATTAAACATCAAGACTTCAAAAGAAATTGGAGAGAAGAAGACTAATATCAATCGGTTATAAATAAACTATTATTATTATTATTATTATTATCGTCAATGTCTTCAAGATTAAGTGAAATATACTCCAGCATAGACATAAATGTACATCCCGGTACAAAACATAAATACTTCCAGTCCACTTTCTTTTTAGGTAGAAATAGTTATCAAAAAAACAAACCTCGTATTTCTGTCTTGGTCTCGAATCTTTTTCTCCATCTCGGCATCTGTCAGAGTTTCCAGGAACGGACACCAAGAATCAGCCTCGTGTTGGTTTCTAATAGCAACCTCAACAGTTGGTAACGGAGCCTCACTGTTAATAAAATAATCAGACATTACAAGAAGAATTAAGCGATTGACAAGAATTGAGTTATGTCCAAGGGTTTACATTCAAGTTCTATTATAAAGCCCTAAAGAAATGATATTGATAAAAAGAGAGAATAAGCTCAAGTCAAAAACCAAGAAAATGCAACGCTTGTTGATTTCTAAACAAGTTTGTAGTTGTAATGAATCTAATTTATTAACACAGCAAGTTCCCCACATATTCTTATGGCTCACATCAAAACGAACAACAATCCTAGCTACCACTGACTGTAACTTTACCTGAATGCGTATGTTCTCCCGTGCCAACTGAGCTGACCTCGTATACTGTAGGCTATACATGTAACAAATTCTCCACCAAGACCTATAATATACACAAATATCACTTAAGGGCAGAACAAAAAAGTATGTAAGGAAGCCAACAAACATATTTTGTATGCAAATTGGTAGAAGATCTGAGGGTATCCAACACCTATTTATGAAAAAGCACTCAAATTGTTCCGAACTGCTGAAATTTCAACATGTATTCAAGTTATGACAGTCTCATGCAACTATATCCAATTGGTTATCGATATGGTGTGATTGTACCTTAAGGAACTCAAACAAAGAATTTTTTTATTGAAATTTGTCTGATGATCCAATACCCAATTACAACAAAGCATTCAAATTGATGCCAACTGCTCAAATTATAACAAAGGCTTCCTCTTTAATATACATAAATATTCAAGCATTCATTTATAAAGATAAACAATGACAAACTTACCTAGTTCAGCACAAAGTTTGGTGGCGAATTCTTCTGGATCATTTTCAGATTCAGACATATCCCATTCAAACTGGTCTACTAATGATATATTTCCTACGTGGATATTTAACTACAATATCAAAATAATCATTAAAATTAGGGACCTATTAATCTTAATTTTCTATATTTGGTCGGATTATCAAGAAAAGATCAATGCTAAGAGGTTTGGCCAAGGACAAGCTGGTAGAAAGGATCCTTTGAGAATGTAAGTTGTTATCCTAATAATATTTAGTTAAAATAAAGCTGCCCGTAAATAAACATATCTTTCCAAAATGGCCTGTCCACAAGACGTTTTTGATCAAGCTTGACCATGCTGATAAGCCCCATCACCTTTTAATAACACGTTGGTCAGGATTAGACCCCCATCTAGAAACATCCCCTACCCCTTTTTTCTATCAATTCAATTTAAAATAACAAGCTGGTTGGAATTTGACCCTCCCCCCTAACTCCCACCCCTACTAGAATCAGACCCATCCCCCTTTCTAACCAATCCAGTGTACCTTTAATATAACACGCTGATCAGGATTTGACACGACGTCAGGGTCTGGTGTGGGGTAAGCTTCTATCTGTTGTCGTATTGCCTGAGCAATGGCCGATACAAAATTAATAGGGTTCAGATCCAAATCATCACATAAAATCTCTGCACACTGTTCTGGAGTAATTAATGTTTCTGAAAAAAAAAATTACATCCTAAAAGAGTTAGATTAAAATTTCTTTTTCTGATATTTTGCATCTCCATTGAAATCTAACACTTTTTCTACCACAGTCCTGTTCTACTGACATTATTTTAAACCAATCAAAGTGTGTTATGTAGGACATGTTTCTTGGTAACATAATGAATTTTGGTCTTTGGGTTTGCTATCCCTTAATTCATCTTTGGCAAAACGTTACAAAGTGTTCTTATGGTACTATCTACCAAGTATTACAATTTGTTTTGTCCATCTCCATAGCCTGCTCATTTACTTTGCTACAAATATAAAAATTTGTTGGCTTACAATATTTTGTGTGAAAATAAATTGTACGACTAAGCTTATTTATGTGAACAATTCAACACAAGGCAGGTAACAAATTTGAAATTGATATGTCATACCATTTTTATTCCAAGTAAAACAGTCACGTAATTTCTGTCCGTCAAATTCCATGTCCAGCCTGATTGGGACTAGTTGTTCAGGTAAGTTGGCATTTTCTATATTCAACATGGGGTCTGTATCATCAAAACTGAAACAAAGATAAGTATGAAACTATTAGACTACTCCAAATAAATAAATTGATTTTCAGAAAATTTAACAAATCCATTTCAGTTCAAAGAAATTTCGATGTCCACAGTGCCAAATATAGAAATAAAATCCATTTCTCATATAACAAGAACAGACATTAAACAGAACACTGGAGTAATGCCATAATGCACATAAAAAAAGCTAGAAAACATTAGTTTTAACTTGAAAATGCGGGACGTAAAACTCATTTTCATATTATTTGAAAATGCCTGTCCAGATTAAGAAAAGTGTTGAGTTGTGACCTACCATAAGGGAAAGGTTCTAATCTTGGCTTTGCCCAATCTGTTCCTATTGATGGGTGTAGAACAAGGCACAGCATCTAAATGATGAGAACTTGTAGGCATTGTCGGCACCCAGGCTGCTTTCTTCTGTTTATTGTCCCTGTAATTAAATATGATAATCTTACAGCATTTTATTGTACAACCCCTTCAATTGCATTATAAGGATCTTTAATATAACACCCCAACCAGCATCATTAACATGAGGACTATCTGTAGCTCTTATAAGACACAATTTCAAGCTAATGGTGGTCCTCCGATCAAGATCAGCATGTGAAAATCTGGTGACCCTGAATTAGTCATTTATCCTCCTTATCTCACTTGACCAGCATGTATAAAAACATTCGAAAGCCTAAGTTACTATCCTTGTAAGATAAGGCTGTTACCTACACTTAAATGAAAGGAGATCATCCTAACATAGCTGTGAGATTTTTAAACTTTACCCCTCCCAATCCCACCAAGCTACAGGACACAACCTACCTAGTGTAAGGTACTGAAGGTTCACTAGCGATAGACGCAGCAGCTTTGTATTTTTCATCTGAGCCTTTTAATATTTCATCCACTTCACTAACCTTTAACAGAGTAATATTGGTAGCCAGAGAATGCTGACCAAAACCTGAAATAACATAAAAAAAATACAGAAAATTTCAAAAGGAAAAAGAAAGTGGCGGCAGAACTAACAATTTGGAGATAACCTTTTTTGAGTAATGGGATTATTTTTAAAGGAAATCTTTTTATCTGGCTTATAAAAAGGTTGTTCATTGTTGACCATTTACCTAAAACCTTGAATATTAATTTCTATCAATTGAAAAAAACTATATTTTTAACTAACCCATGGCTGAAATTTTCTTTCTTTCTTCAAGCGTCACCAATCGTCTCCACATGGAAGGGTATCGTTTATAGAGAGACCCTCTGAACATACGTAAATATGTCCCCACCTGTTGATAGAAAAGAGATTTTCAGACATTACAGACAGAGAACATGACATGCAGTACGGGATATTCAAGAACTTTAAGCTGGTCAATAAGTCTACAAGACAAGCTAATGAAAGACCAGTTGACAAGTAAGATACAGTAAGAGATTTTCCTCTTTTTCTACTCTTTTTTTGGGAGGCAAGGAATTGTTATTATTATATGGCATTGTCAATGGTTCTTGACTGCTGAATCGAAAGAAAAGGTTGATGATATCTTGGCTATTATCTGTAGTCTACCAGGGTTAGGGATAGAGCTGCATTTGACTGATAACTTTTCTTTGTTTACATTTTGACATTCCAATTCGATCTTATCAATGATGCCGATGCCTTATATTTCATTTCCCATCGAGATAAAAATGGCTGAAAATGGCCGAATGGACAGAGAAGAAAGTTGTTTACCTCGGAACCGATATAATAAAATTCTCCTTCGCCATCGAATTGAAATGCTCGTGGTTTTTCTCCATAAGTCTTCGTATTTGGAGTATTCATGGTGGTCGCCATTTGTAAAACTCCGCCCTCTAGAAAGGGAGGTAATTTTGTTGCATTTAGTAGCGTGTTCGGTTTATGTGAATTTGTGAATATGTGAATATACTAGTTCGGTTTGTCCAAGGAACATTTCCCGATTTTAGCTAGAAAATCTCCCCATAGAAACAATGGTCGAAATAACGAGCATCTCATGCTGCAGACGTATAATGATTTTTTTTTTCAACACAACGCTCAAGACTTATCTGAAATGGGAGTTGACTTTTCAAGAAACTTAAAATTATAGAACTTGAGATAGAGACGGGTGAGCTTGTAAAGCAAATATTTTGAAGTGTTGAAATTTTTATTTAAACACTGTCCAATCTAAAAATTGTATTAACCATGGTATTAATCTTTGGCTATGACCTTAGAATTCGAAATATATCACGCAACTCGATGCACGCCCAAATTTAACCTTTTGTGGAGACCGAGCAAGCGCTTTAGAATTCGACCTTAGGAAGATATCACCCTGCATATCTCTATGCCAAATACGATTATACTATACGAGCATTAAACATATAAGTAGGCCTACAATGGCATATAGAACTAGAAACATATAAAGTGCAGTATAGACTAATAGTTTGTTAACAGAATGATTTTACATTAGAAGATGAAATATCGTTGCCAAAGTTACCTTCAACTCGATTGTGTAACAGCGTGAACAGTTGCCAGCCTCTCGTAATTAGATGAATTTAATGGAAGAAAAAAGACTTTTTCTTGATTTTAAAACTTGGCTAATGCAAAGGAATCCAACAATTTCCTTTAAAATGTGTAATTGAGATCATTCCCAGCTAGGGAAATCCATTTTACCTCTAACATAAGTCCTCCCGAATTTGTTTTGGAAATCTGGTTTAGGTCTGAGGAAGTTGTCAGTCTCTCTTTAGTTTATGAATGAGTTAAAGGGTTTCTTATTTCAAAGGTTGGTTATTGGAAACAAGAATGCCCTAATATTTGTAAATTTGAGGAAATCCGTTTCCTTGTTACATTAGTACTCCAGAATCTGTCATGAAAAAAGGGACAGGTAGGCCATTTTTTTGACCAATCATACTTCAGTCTCAGAAGAATTTTTTTAGCTGAGCTAATCAGTAATAGTGTTCACAGCTCGCCGCCCAGAGGGCACATCTTTAAGGCAACGTGTCTATTTCAAATACGTTACATCATTTTCTCAAAGTTTCATTTACAAAGGCACTATTCTAGAAAGTTAAGCCCCATCTTCAAATCCAGCTCTCCCGAGAAGGATTGTGTAGCAGCATAAGATATGAGCTCTTGTCAAATAGGAAATAAAAATGTTGATGCTTTGATCAATATACACAATTTCGGGAGTAAAAGTTGTAAAATAGCACTTTTTTCTCGATTGAAAAAAGCAGTTATTATATAACAGAAGGGTAAGCAACTCTCATAAGGGAACAAATCTATGCTATGTAAATAATTGGGGATAAAGTCCATTAGTAAACAAGTAAGGTCGTCGTAAGTAGGCTAAAATCCGGATTAGAGAAAAACTGCAGTGCTGACGTGGCTTGAGTGTAAGAGACCTAATAATCGAGAATATCAATAAGTGTTGGTGATTGGCTGATAAATGAAATAACTTTACAATCGAGACTTCCTGATCTGCGCATTCTCATCTTGCAACTTGTCGAGAGTCAGTAGATTCCTCCAGCGGCTTTCAATCTTACGTTTTTGATCAAATTTTACAGCGTAAGTAACATTGATTTTTCATGTTTTTGATTAGGATTTGGATCGCAATTTCTTGTAGCAGACGAACATCCTTGACATTTTGCTTATTGTCGCTTATTCGTTACCGAATTTAGCCGATTCGTCCTTGAAAAGGACACCGACAACTTGACTCGGCCTTGACCTTGTGTAGAAATCTATGTAAAAGTAATTATTTCGTCTGCGAACTTGAAGCCAAAGCTTACGAAGATCACCTCGAAAGTACTTGTAATTTTTGTATCAGCTGCATAACTCGTGTACCTTAGGAATAGGTAATGTATAAACTTTCATGAATTCTATAAGCTTATCTATCTTAGTTTATTTCGATCATGGATCTTCAGACTTCAATCGACTTGATACAGTTCTTTACTTCTAACTTTTAGTCTCTTCAAAAATTAATCTGAGAGACTGTCGACCACTGTCATTTTACCAAAAGTCAAAACTGAATTATTTGAATGCCAATTGTATGATATAATGTCTTGTAGTCCTTTGAAAGATTTGATGATTTTACCTTTGAACCATGCTATGATTTCCCCTTATCAGAAATTACATGTGAAACTGACCCACATTTCTGACTGTAGTGTAAGTAAATCTTCATTTGTAAAATTAGATATCAGTAGAACCCTACTATTTTTATGTCAGTTTAAATTTCATTAAACCAAACCAAAATTAGACAATCTAAAAAAACTCAGCGCTATTTCCTATAAATATTAAGAAAGATCACCAAAATGCAATTCTCTAAATATTGTTTTCGGACAGTAAGACAGTCGACTTTCAGTAATATTTTAGAATTTACAATTAAATTCACATTTAAATGATTAAAAAATTTGATCTACTAAATGATGAAATATGAATTTCCTGGTCTATCACGTTTTTTACAATGATGCAATAGAAGCTTTTAACCACACCTTAATTTTATCAATGACAAAATTGACTTGTTTTGCTCTGATAACTATGTTAATAGTAAATATGCACATGGATGATTAATTCTGAATGGGTCAAATGGATGTGACATTGATCTTTATCTTGAAATTAGTCTTCTTACAGTTCAGTCTTTCAATATTTACTTTGACTGACTTTAAGACTGTTATCTTCCTTAGGTTTAAAGCTAAAAAATTTGAGACTTCCTCCTGACCTTGATTGTGATAGTTGGTTGGCATAAATAGCTTCTAAAGGCTGCAAAATGTAATTTATTAGTTTACAATTTATAACTTTTGTTAATCAATAAGCTGACAAACTAACCAAAATTTAACCAGTTTATAAGTTGGACACAAGGAATTCTTCACCAGAAATCTGGTAATTGGGGCTCATAATTAAATTTCTAAATACAGGAGTTATATATCAATTGCGTTACTGTTATTTATAGACATACAAATTGTGTTGTTAAAAATATCAATGACTATAATAGTAATTTAGCTCAATATACTAATCTGGCGTTATGCCAGTTGCAAATATTAGGCTACTCTGCAGAAATACATTACAGTGCTGGGAGCATAACCGTTTCCTTGGTATCAATGACTAGGGTAACTATTAAATGTTTTATTTGACGTTAAAATTCTCTGAATTTAGCTGAATGTACATACCAGTATTAGTCTATTCTGATTTAGAAATTGCCAACATGAATTTAAAAGTTATTCTAATCAACAGCCTTGATTTGACTAAAGAATAATTCAGCCACACGAATTTAATAACATTCTGACTAAATGAGCCATATCAAAGAAATTTCTGGACATATTTGATCAGCTGATAGTACATGGTTGAAGGAGTTGATCTTTGCCCAACAGACTATTATCTATCTAGATATTACATACTTTATCTCCGGTGAAAGTACAGATAAACACGGTTATCTTTTGTGTAAACACATTTTCATTATCATTAAAGTAATTTAGTTGTGTATATAAGCTTACTTATTTTTCAGCAGTGAAGCTCATTTTCAGCTATATCTTTTTAAGGTGTCTTAATCTACAGAGCTAATTTCAGCTTTCTTTATAGTTATAAAGATATAAAGTCTATAAAGATATATTATTTTCCTACTGAAAGCTCAATTTCAGCCATCTATCTTACTTTTCAGAGAGTAATCAGACTTATGGTTTGTCTGCAATCAAAGACATGTATATTTTGGCAAAATTAACAATTCAAACACCCTTCTTTTAGCTGATTTAAAAGTGCTTCACTATAGTCAAGGACAGTAAGTTACTATTAGTACATTGTACTGATGTTGTAAAGGGCAGTAACTCTATCTATATTTATTGGATTGCACCTTCATTTGAACTGATTATTAATTTTTTCAGAAACATGCCAGACCACGCCCAATACTTAACAGCTGAACAGCAAGATGAATTAAGAAAGATAGCTAATGCTATTGTTGCACCTGGTAAAGGTATCCTAGCTGCTGATGAATCTACAGGTAAGTACAAATATTCTATATCAGAGCAAGACTGGAATCACCAAATATGCCCCTTATTTTACAAATGAGCTCTACTATATGTAGTTTATATTATGAGAAAATGTCTATGTGTGGAAAAGTTCTAAGTGCCCAAATACCCCTTTGCAGATAGTTTGAGGGTATGAGTCATTGTGGGGAGAGGGGAGGGGGGTCAGAGGGGCCTCCCTGAAAAAATTTAAATGTGGGATGCAAGAGAACGATTTTGGAAGTGAAAATAGAATAATTGATAAAATTGACGCCAAAGTAAGCTATCTAGGTCATTAAAAAAAAAAAAATGATTTATTAACAATATATTCATTTAATACATAAAAAATATAGATAACTTTAGGGATAATGAACAGTTGTCCTATTTTTGATTTCCAGCTGATACACTCTGCATGAGTTCAGTTAATTTGTGTCCACAAAACTAGCTTTCCTGATGAGGAAATATATCTGATAAGCTTTCATGGAATTAGCTGTAGTAAATAAGCTATTTTTTTTTTCTCTTCTATAATACAGTACATATTAAATTGTTAAAGAACTATGAGCGATCATCATTCTAAAAAGTAAGAGAAATAGTCCGAAATTGTGTCTGTAATGCAATATATTTCCGTCACCCATTCAACTTCTGATAAGCATTTTAGATTTGCTAAATTCTGACGATCTCCCCAACTCTCTCAATGAGCTATTCCAAAGTGCATTAAAACTAATACATAGGATGAATACAATGAAAATCGAAGGGTGATTTCCATTCTTTATATTCATTCAATGTTATTATATTAGTTCTAAGTAATATTTGAAATCAATAAGCTGAAAGTAACAGATGTGCAGATGTTGACAGACCCACTTTATTTGTGTACTTTATTTATTTGATTTCTCATAAAAGTTGAAATTGGACTATTAAAAAAGGTCTAGAGTAATTGGTGATAAAACCATGGTCTCTTATCAATAAATAATTTAGACACTGTGTTCAAATGATCTAAATAGCTTGATATAAGGCAGTAGATTTATTAAACCAATCAAAACGAGACAGGTTTCCTGCAAATTTTTGCTAGTTGCATGTAAGCTCATATTTTAACATGAAACACAAACATTTTTGATTGGCCGATTTGGGAATCATGTGACATATGAATATTCATATATCTTAAAACAAGATTTACCTGCCAAAGGAAAACAAGGTAGAAATAGGTAATATTTATGTTAACTTTCGGACTTTTCAACCAATTTACACAGCTTGAAGTAAACGTCTGGACAAGGATATTGTTCAGTACAATTTCGGCAAATGTGGGGTACAAACTTCTACTGTTATATATCAAGCCTAACTGATTTAGAATGTTTACTGCTACTTCATTAGGGGTTAGTATTACCTAGATTGTAAATCATGAAATTGAAAGAGTAAAGTATAAAACTTATAATTCCAGGTACAATTGGAAAGAGATTCTCCAGTATTAATTTAGAAAACACAGAAGAAAATCGACGAAGATACCGAGAGCTCCTCTTCTCGTCCGACGCCTGTGTTGCTGAAAATATCTCTGGAGTAATCCTCTTCGAAGAAACCCTGTACCAGAAAGCTAAAGATGGAACACCATTTGTGAAAGTTCTCCAAGATAAGGGAATCATTCCTGGTATTAAAGTTGATAAGGGAGTTGTTCCCCTTGCTGGTACTTTCTCTGAGGGAACTACACAAGGTATGATAAAGAAAATAACTATTTTTACAAAGAAAGGTTTACGAGGATCCTTTCTTCCAGCTGAAGCTTGGCCTGAGCATCTTAGCTTGGATCTTTCCTGGATTATCTGTATGCATTTACAGCTGGGTTGACTGGTAAAAATGCTAACAGATGAGTTTGCTGTGGATGATAATTCATCATTCTTTTGTCTGATTTTTCGCATAACTATGTTATATTTTTTGCCCTGTAGGTCTTGATGGTTTATCAGAAAGATGTGCCCAGTACAAGAAAGATGGAGCCCAGTTTGCCAAGTGGAGATGTGTGTTAAAAATTGGCCCACAAACCCCATCATATCAGGCTATGTTAGAAAATGCTAATGTTTTAGCTCGATACGCCAGCATCTGTCAACAAGTGAGTACTGAGAGACAGTCATAACTCTTTATTGTACAGGAAGATACATAATTATTCTTCCTAGAAACAATTTTCATACAGAAAGCTTAAAATGTAGTTACTGGAAATGAAATCTTAAACACTCAACCCTTCAAAATTCATCACTGGAAGCAACTTTATTAGAGGAAACTTAAAATGTAGTTATCTCCCTTAGATCTGTAAACAAGTTAATGTTATTACTGTGATCAGTTTGGCTGAAACTCTGAGCTAAGCTGCTCCAAAAGTCATCTGAGGACTGTGACTCGAGGTGGTGGCTTACAAGTCTAATCTCCATTGGAGAGGAGAAATAAAGGCTATGCCTATTCCCAAATCTTATGAATGAATTATGAAATATCCCTTGAAAAATAATGAACCAAATTGTAATTTATTCCAGAATGGTTTGGTACCAATCGTTGAACCAGAAGTTTTACCAGATGGTACCCACACACTTGAAGAGGCCCAGTATGTTACTGAAAAGGTAAATTCTAGCTATTTATATCCCACCATTTTGTGCTATTTTTAGACAAAACTCTTGCAGCATGATAATTATTTTTTTTAATCTTATAGTTATTGCCCTTGAATTAGCAAAATTAATTTGATTTGTTGAGTGTGGTGCTTAAAACAAAACACACATGACATACATTATGGTTTGTGTTTATGTCAAAATTTGAAAATCTAGTCTTATCTTATTTTCTGTTTCTTCAGGTATTCGCATTCCAATACAAGGCATCTATATATCTGTATCAAGTTATGAAAACCCAGAATTATAATTTTTTTAATTTTTTCTTCAGGTATTAGCTTTCCAATATAAGGCATTAAGTGATCACAATATCTTTTTGGAAGGTACTTTATTAAAACCTAACATGGTAACAGCTGGTCAAGGATGTACAGTTAAATATACAGCTCAACAGAATGCCAAGGCTACTGTTGAAGCTTTATCTAGAACTGTCCCTGCTGCAGTCCCAGGTCTGTTTATAATTTGTCACAATTCCCTGACCCCCCAAAATACTGTATTAAAATTTACACTGCTAAATTTAAAACTAGGCTCAGTAACTATGATAGTATCCAGGAGCAAAGACAAAAATTAAATAAGATTGTTTTGTAGGGTATCTATCATCTGATTTTCCTTTTTTCCTGGGCCAGATAACCAGGACTTTGTCACTTACAAGTTAGCCTATTCCCCTAAGTGTCTTATGATACAAAATATTCAAAAGTGTAAAATATCTTATTCTTATTTAAAATACTTTTTACTTTTTTTCAGGAGTGACCTTTTTATCTGGGGGTCAATCAGAGGTTGATGCCTCCATTAATTTAAACGCTATCAACGCCTACCCCGGTCGTAAACCCTGGGCTTTAACTTTCTCATTCGGTCGAGCTCTTCAAGCCAGTGTTATTAAGGCTTGGGCTGGTCAAGATGCCAACTTGGGCAAAGCTCAAGCTGAATTAATCAAGAGAGCCAAGGTAAGATTTGACCAAGAGGTTATTAAAGATGCGCATATTAATGAGGAACATGAATATTAATGAATGGCATGATTATTAATGATGGACATGAATATTAATGAATGATATGCGCAGTATAAAGTTTTACACAGTTCATCGTCACAATGTCAAGAAATTATGAACTTCACCTTTCTTAAATACTGCAAGATTGTAAAGATTGACTCGGCCATTTTGCATGTTATGTAGTTGTATGCAATTTGTCAGTGAAGATTTATTTTTTTCTGACCCACATTACATTTGTATTAGAAGATCTTGACTACAATACAACACCCCATTGGAATATATTATTTGTTACTGAGTTTCTCTACATGCCTGTCAAATTTTAATTGCTTAAAATTGGTCTGACCAATTACCTACCCAAATTTTTCCTTCTTAGTTGGACCACTTTCTTTCAGAGAGTCTACATAGCTAATAACCTGTTTTTATTTTTCAGGCTAATGGTAACGCCTCCCTGGGAAAATACACCCCCGACGGTGAGGGAGAGGCTGCTGCCCAATCACTCTTTATTGCTAATCATAGTTACTAGACACTACACAACTCAGTGAGCCCTGATTAGAGTCAACTATCTTCAATAGAACAACTGGGCTCTATCTCAAAATTGTCAATTACTAATTCATTAATGCAATTTTGTTTAAAAACGGATTCTTAGACGTTATTCTCAATTAGCTCAGTGGTTTTAAAAATGTTTTCAGTTTAAAATCTAAGTTATATGCTATGCATATTAAAATAAAGTAAACCACATCTTTCTTAAAGAACATAAACTAGTGTTGTTCTACGTCAAAAGAAAGGGACCTAATTCAGAATAGCGTCTGATTTCTTTAAATTATGATTTTGTGGTGTATTATTTAATTATGTGATCGTTCGATTCTTGATATTCCCTGATTTTTATCATGCTGGCTCTCGTTTCATGAAATCTTAGGATTGATTATTTCGAAGGTCTAATTTCACATTAGATTTTTGTTGGTTTTTTATGAAAACCTTTCAATTTAATACATGTAAATTTGCACTCGTTTCAGAATTTTGATCCCAAGATTTTAATTATGAAACAGGGCTCTAGTCTGTAAATTTGTCTAGCATGGACATAGCTTTGCTTGTACACATACTAAAACTATCTTAGTAACTATAGAATAGTAGGGTTTCTGTTTTTAGTTTTAAAAGATGGAGTTCAGATTCTGTTGTACTATATTTGTTCTGTTATTGTCTATTTCATTATAGTGTTCCTCTTCAGACTTCCTTTATATTCCTGTAATACCACAGTTGTATGTAACTATTAGGAAACGGGTTATAACTTTAGTATTTGAATGCTTGCAGAATAGCTTTAATTTTATCATAATGAAATTGAAAGTAGTAGACTTGAATGTCCAGACTGTTATTTAAATGGCTTGTTTGTTATCTAAGACTAGTTCATCAGGTACATTTTGTATGCATGAATTCTGATCTCAAAGCAATACAAGTTTTTTTTTGAAAAACTGAAAATTTGATGCCGCATCTGGCTGGCAAAGCTACCCCAATTTGGCAAGCCATTTTCAGGATAAAAATACTGCGTTCTTTACACGCAAATATATGGTATGGAGTCTAAATTAAAGAGATGAGAAATCCAGTCACTATAAATTCATCTGTATGGCGGGAATGTTAATAAACTGTGGTTTAAACTTGGCTTTAGTTTTAATAGCATGCCCTCACCCCGGGGTGGGATCGAACCCTCTTAGCAAGAAAAATCGGCTTCCATACCCTTTAAATTAAGCTCACTACTCTTTTTGGCCCCACACGAAGATAAGAAGGCTTTGATGTTTTCCGCACTCTTGACAAGTCTAAAGCGCCTTATCGGCCCCTGCAGGTAAAAGGGGCAGACTTAGAAGTCGTTCCGATGGGACCATAAACGCTGATCTGGCAAAATTTTATCATTGCACCCTGCATGGCGTTGCCCGTTCATTAGCCCACATGGAGCAGAAAAGTAGGACGTAAAACTCCATTCATTTCATTTCTTCTTGGCCCTTCCCACCTACTGATACCCCTTACCCCCCTGTATGATTTAAGCCTATACCCTTTTTGTCTTAGCATAACTTTTATCTTGGGTATTTATCTTCCAGGCAAAGTTTAATAATTAAAAATTGCTCGCTAACTTCAAAGCAAGAGATCGCTGTTACTGATAACGGTACAACTAACGTCAATCAGTCAGTCGATGTGTTGTTCTAACCCTGACTCTGGCCTAATATAAAATTTTAATTCCTCGGGAAGAAATGACGTGAATCTGTTGGGACTAGTATTAACAAATAAATTCGGTACAGGGTAATCACCATGTTGTATTTTAAACATTATATACTACTGGCTAATCACAAGAATTACCCTGGCTCCACACCATCGTGGATTCAAAATCACAATTATTTCTAGGAAATCTGTTTTTTAAGGAGCGTTTTCAATACAAACTTTGGTGATTTTACCTATCATTTCTCTGAGGGGAGTGTGTTTTTTGAAATATAATTTAACAAACCTTATATTTCTGTGGACCAGAAGACTTCAGAGAAATTGCCCTTAATAAGGTTTGCAGACTTTCCATATCCTTGTTTAAATAAACCAGTCGTTCTGATCGGATCGATTGTTTCATGTCGTGATTAAAAAAAATTAGTACTTAATCTAATAATAGATCGTGTCTTTGTTAGCAACCCCTGTATAGTATATCAGTCAAAATACCTCATAAACTTTACAGGTCTATTGGTGTATGGAAGGGGATAAGACTAGCAACTCTTGTATAGTATATCAGTCAAAATACCTCATATACTCTATAGGTCTGTTGATGTATGGAAGGGGATAAGACTAGCGACCCGTGTATAGTATATCAGTCAAAATACCTCATATACTCTATAGATCTATTGATGTATGGAAGGGGATAAGACTAGCAACCCTTGTATAGTAATTAGTATATCAGTCAAAATACCTCATATACTCTATAGATCTATTGATGTATGGAAGGGGATAAGACTAGCGACCCGTGTATAGTATATCAGTCAAAATACCTCATATACTCTATAGATCTATTGATGTATGGAGGGGGATAAGACTAGCAACCCTTGTATAGTAATTAGTATATCAGTCAAAATACCTAATATACTCTATAGATCTATTGATGTATGGAAGGGGATAAGACTAGCGACCCGTGTATAGTATATCAGTCAAAATACCTCATATACTCTATGGGTCTATTTATGTATGGAAAGGGATACGACAAGCAACCTTTGTATTGTATGTTGTGGCACAAACAGGGTATGCTTACACTTATAGACACTTGACATCAACTTTCATTAGGAAATACTTACTCACTTAAAATATTGTTTTGGATTTCGGGTTTCGTTTTGTGTAGATCTGTTGGTGTATGGAAGGCAACATTATGAGCAATTCTTGCATATTTATCAAATAATTGTTTTTGAAGAAGCGAACTTCCTATACAAGATGGGCAGTCATAACTATTCATAGATTTGCATCAGGAACTTCGCAATAGACCCATGCCCTGTCACACTGTATTGTATTGTTTTTATTGCCTTATACAAAGGTACATGAGCATTGGCAAACAAACAGAAACATTATTATCAAGTAAATAGAGACCCTGATACATTTGTATTGTCTCCTAAATCCCCCCATAATATTACATAGAATAATCTTCATTTAGGCGAAATCCATTTTGTCTGTTATCCCCTTCCATAATATTGGTTACGCTGATCCAGTGTCTAATAGGGATAATACGTTTGGTAGCAACGCCAATCAAGCGGATTGGATTATAATTCTACAGGTAGAACTTGTTATTTAGATTTCTAGCTTGAGACATGTTAACTGCGAGACTGTTGAATTTGACCAAATTTAGTATTTTGTGACTGCCAAGGGAAGCAAGGACTAAAAAAATCAGCTTACCCAAGTTCAATAACTGAAGGACTAGAGAAAGAGAAAAGAGAATTTTAACCGCTGAAGTAGGCCTATTGTTTTAAATTGACCATCGAAAGAAAATTTTAAGTTGGTTATTTGTAGAGTGACATATTTTTGAACTTTTATATTAGTTTGATTGGATTGTGGTCTTTTGGATCAGTGTCTTTCAAGGAACAAAGTATTGAAGGTTATGTGGTGTTTACCTGTCGTTTAGTCAAAACAGTTCTTTTGTCATTCGATGGATTGTGAAATATCGTAGGTGGAAGTAAGGTCAGATTCAAAACAAACCTTGAAACTTTGAAGATAAAAAAACTAAACTTGGGATTTGAAACAGAGATAGTTGGGACTTCAAGACACCACATTTTGAACTAAAAAACTAAACCTGTGAAATATCTTAGTTGAAACATCAGAGATTCGAAATATAGTAATTCGGATTCAAACTGAAACCTTGGACCTTAAAGAAGAAAACAACATGTGAATGTGAGTTCACACTTCTCTGAAGTTAGAAACAGGACAAGATGGTAAATGAGATGAAATTGGAATAGTTTGAGATGTTTTTTTTAAATAAACAGACAAGATGCCTCTAGATATTAAAGGTAAGAAAGATGTTCTAAATTTTTTCTTTCTTCAAAAAATATTCTTTCTGTAAAAATTGAAATTGAAGTGGTGCAAATCTGTTCCTTTAAAGCTGTGAATAATTTTACGAGTTCGTGTGCCTTTAAAGTAGATATATCAAACCGAGGTTCGAGGGTCTTGGGGGTGCCACTATACCCCCCGCCCCCTCTACTGGCCCAACATAACGGAACCCTATCCTCTATAGTTTCTAATCATCGTACTTCCATTCCAGAAAGTCGTCGTTCCCGTATCCTGGCGTCTGATACGACGGCTGTAGTGTGGTCGCAAGCCAGTCTTTATCGGTATGAACATCTCTCAGAGGATGACAAGGATCTGGTCCGCCAGTTGTTGAAAGGGCAGATAACCCTAGATCAAGTACCAACCATCAAATCCAACTCAGTCAAAATTTTCATCAGTTCCACCTTTTCTGGTAAGTTTCAACGAATGTCTTTTTTTTTTGGTCAAAGATAGCAAGTATGATATACTCATGGATCGAGCCCTTACATTATAACGAGCCATCGATCAACTCTTCCGGCAACTCTCTTTCCTGGATTTTCTTTGCGTGAGATAAAAACTCAGGTTCTCAAGGATTCTGTCTATACCAGCTTGACCTTGTCCAAACCACATAGCAATGACCTTACAAAGATACCAGCTCAGGTTCTCGGGGATCCTGTCAACCAGTTGGTCCTTGATTAAAACTCTTGGCAATGGTTTACAAGGATAACAAATTAGAACTTTGAGGATATTTTCTACCAGCTGGTCCATGTGCTTGCGCCCCCTT